TTGTTATAAAACCAGATAGGCACGTGTTCAATGTGGTGATCAGAGCCAAATAGATGTACACCATGCTGTGATTAAAGCCAGATAGGCACGTGTTCAATGTGGTGATGAGAACCAGATAGGTACATACCATGCTGTAATTAATGCCAGATTAGGCGCATGTTCAATGTGGTGATGAGAACCAGATAGGTGTACACCATGCTGTGATTACAGCCAGGTAGGGACGTGTTCAATGTGGTGATGAGAGCCAGATACTTGCACACCATGCTGTGGTTAAAGCCAGATTAGGCATGTGTTCAATTTGGTGATGAGAACCAGATAGGTACACACCATGCTGTAATTAATGCCAGATTAGGCGCATGTTCAATGTGGTGATGAGAACCAGATAGGTGTGCACCATGCTGTGATTAAAGCCACGTAGGGACGTGTTCAAGGTGGTGATGAGAGCCAGATAGGTGCACACCATGCTATGATTAAAGCCAGATAGGGACGTTTTCAATGTGGTGATGAGAACCAGATAGGTGCACACCATGCTGTGATTAAAGCCAGATTAGGCAAATGTTCAATGTGGTGATGAGAACCAGATAGGTACACCCCATGCTGTAATTAATGCCAGATTAGGCGCATGTTCAATGTGGTGATGAGAACCAGATAGGTGTGCACCATGCTGTGATTAAAGCCACGTAGGGACGTGTTCAAGGTGGTGATGAGAGCCAGATAGGTGCACACCATGCTATGATTAAAGCCAGATAGGGACGTTTTCAATGTGGTGATGAGAACCAGATAGGTGCACACCATGCTGTGATTAATGCCAGATTAGGCGCATGTTCAATGTGGTGATGAGAACCAGATAGGTGTGCACCATGCTGTGATTAAAGCCACGTAGGGACGTGTTCAATGTGGTGATGAGAGCCAGATAGGTGCACACCATGCTGTGATTAAAGCCAGATTAGGCAAATGTTCAATGTGGTGATGAGAACCAGATAGGTACACCCCATGCTGTAATTAATGCCAGATTAGGCGCATGTTCAATGTAGTGATGAGAACCAGATAGGTGTACACCATGCTGTGATTAAAGCCGGGTACGGACGTGTTCATGGTGGTGATGAGAGCCAGATAGGTGCAAACCATGCTACGATTAAAGCCATATAGGGACGTGTTCAATGTGGTGATGAGAGCCAGATAGGT